AGGGAAACTAAGGTCCGAATCGTCGTATAGCTCAGTGTTTCTCAACGGGGGCCATATGGATCCCTAGGGGGCCAGCAAAAATATAGGCCAGGACGTCCCGATTGAAAGAGTCGCGAAGGAACTTTCAAAAATAAATTACCATACAGTGAGTAACCAAGGATTTTGAACACAGTGTTTGCATTACGAAATCGTCGAAAAGTGACCCGCTGTTGGAAAAACACGAAGAAAAAACATTAACAAAAGTGAGAAGAAATTATGTAATTGTCGTTAATAAATTTTCATTCCGTCATTAAAATTATGATTAAGTTACAACATTTAAAATTGCGTTATGCGCCGAAAAAACTGTTCGTGGAAAATGTCATTCCACGGTCAAAGTTTCTTGGCTATTTCAATTACAAAAAGAACCCTTCCGACGTAAGAGTGTTCAATTTTCCTTAGTTGATCCTAGATTCCATATTGGATGTAAGGAGGGTGTCCAGTAATACCAAAGACTATTGGAGGATGATAGTCTTTGGTAATCCTGTATCATCAACTTTAACCCCTACCTACTACCGACCCAAAGCGGTTCCATAAATACTACCGATGCGATGGGTCACCAGGGCCCACTTGTTTTATTAATTTGAAATAACAAACATTTGAAATATTAATGTTACTCCCTGTTAACTTTATATATTGTGAATATACCAACAGAACAGACGAAATTTCTCAGAAAACGTCAGCATTTTACGAATTTAAGCTTCCAACTCTGCGTTTAAGCCGGAACATTGAAAAAAGTTTTCAAAACATACGCCCGAATTTTTGAATTTAAGAATGTTTACCCTGCTATACCCCTTCGGAAACAGATTTAGTCACATTTATTTCAAATATTTCAAATAAAAGAATTCGCGTTTCAAATGTACTCATTATACCAAAATCGAGTATGATGTGTCATCAAATATATGTTTAGAAATTGTGCTTCGAAACGTATACGTAGTGATATTCTAATTACAAGGTGGTAATGATGTCAAATCGATAGTCCATGCACTGCCCTGAGCAATAAAACCAGTCAACCACAAGACGTGTCTGGATGATTTGATGTTCGTTTCAGAATTAGATTAGTTTAATTAATTTACGTGGCGGAGAACGTAACAGAATATTGCCATATCTCGCTAAATATCAAAATTGAGGAACGTAGCTGAAGTATATGTTAACAGTGAATATAATTATATTGTCTCTATGTGTGCCTATCCGTTTGCCTGGTAACATTTAATATTAAAGAAAAATAATAGGTGACATCCCTTTGTATTTATTTGTATCAATATCCCTTTCACTATACAAAAGGCAGAATCGCACCAACGCTTGGTATTCTGTTTTTAACTATCTTTCATCATAACATTTTCCCACCCCTTACATAAAGACAAATTTTAATAACCAAAAAGACACATCAGTGAATATATTGCCTACTACATTACATCATCTTTGATATTTAATATTCTTGTAAGGGTTAATAAAGGGGAAATAAAAATTACTTCCTACTCCAGGCAACTTAAGATAATCCATTCTATACCATTTTCAAAAATGTGGTTAGTTTGAAAAATGTTTCAAAACCCACTCGTCGGTGTTGCCGCGTAACACAACTGTAAGTAATAAACAATACTGAGGAACAGACCGACAGACATCACTTTGACCAGTTGATTCAGAACCGGACCTGTGTTTTCAGCTGTTGCATCATAATTCAAGAAAAATGTGACCGACAACTTTTAGAAAACCCATCGAGCCCATCAAACAACCGACCTTGGCGAAGATTGCTCGTGCAGTACCAAGGATCAGTGGCAATCATCGTCTGAGCAAAGTTCAGTTCCTAGACACGGATAATGTGCACTTGCTTATCCAGCCGTTTATAAAATTATTTAGAGTAGCATATCATAAATATCCGTGTTCGTAGGTAAACGACTGTTTACAAACGTTTAATTGAAAGAGATCAAATTATGTCAAAGGAATAACAAATTGGATTATCAACGAATCTAAAATTATCACATAATTTGTCGCCAAAGTCCTCAATTAACATTCCATATCAAAATTATTGTAGTGTTATTGCCCCACAAGCAAAGGCACGATAACCTCGAGACCCCCTACGCAGTGTAGATCACGTCTCTCAAAAAAATATTCCATCACATTAATGTTGCCAGAAAAATACAGGAAGTTGAAGTTGAGAATGGAAAAACTTCCCTTCATCGCTGCATTTTGAAATTGTTCGAGAGGAGTCACCTGGCAAGCTAGCACGATGGATTTCCCAAAACGTAATCTTAACCCTTAATTAGTAACAAGTAGAGGAGAATGATTACGAAGACTCTCCATATTACCATATTGAGTTCCTTACAATCCAATCGACATTGGCGAATAAATGATAGTAGGGGCGGTAGAGGCGCTTAGGAGTTAATGGGGATTGTTGAATATATGTAAATACAGAGGGATGGTTATGACGTAACTATCAATTTAATTTTACTGAAATGTTATTATACATTATAATAAATATTAATTTAATGTTATTAAAATGGGTAAATATGTACTTTAATTAAATTGAATAATTTCATATAAGCATCATAGGATGTGCACGTCTATACAGGGTGGCTAGAAAGTAATGGGGCAAGGCTCTCTAGCTGAAACGGTTTGATTCCTGCTGAACGAGGACTTCAATGAGACATTGTTATGCATGTTTCGGAATGAAAAAGAAATGTCTTCACTACCCAATTTTGAGGGCGGCCGCCATCTTAAATTTTTTAAAATGACAACATGTGTCATGCGACACATCATTGGAAAGCATCTTGTTTTCTCTTTCTAGTGATGCAAACATTTACACCGCTTTTTTGAAAAATGAAAAAAATTAAATTTTTATCTGATGTACATTAAAGAAACAAGGCTCTCCCGAAATGGTTCGAGATATTGATTTGCAGTTTGGAGGACTTTAAAAAAACCTTGTCACGCATATTTCGGAATGAAAAAGAAACTTAGATTACCAATGTTGTTTAAAAAAAATTCAAGATGGTGGTCCCCGTCAAAATTTGGGTAATGAAGAATTTCTTTTTGATTCCCAAACATACGTAACATGGGGGATATGACTATGATTAAACGACTAGGGGGCGGTAGCTGTTTTCTTGCTCCTTAAGCGGGCGATGCTTCAGAAAATGTTGGGAATCTATGGCGCATGCGATTAAAAAACAGCGTAATGAAAAATTGCATCAAAATTCAAAATCGCCCAGTCCGGGAATATAAAAACGACTCGACACGTATGTGACATTACAAGTAATTTACAACAAATCCGATCGCATATTAAAACTTCCGTAACCCCTTCCGGTTTAACCGGTAATCGATGCAACTTTTATTTTTCAAATGAATGCCTATGTTTTTATGATATTTGAAAAGAGCAATCATTTTCTGTAAGACAGCATTTGCTTGATATACACAAAAATGGAAAAATTCGTAATTCAATATTCAGAAAACTTATCAAATCTAGTATGCGATATCCTTGTTTATCCTTGAAGAATATTTCGTTATATTTAAAAAAAAATGTCCATGAATAAATGAAACGACATGCGATATGCTTGTCTTTACTAAGCATCTGTGGTTGAAAGTTCAAAAAAATATAAACATACATAAGCAAGTTGACATTGCGCATTCGCACCTTTCAACATGACTTGGAAAATGCTAAAAATATAGCAATGGCTAATAGTGTTTCCTCTAAAATTCATAGAAAATCGACTTGCAATGGATTGATCGAGAAAAAAATTGTTAAAGATTGTAACTTTCACGATTGTATACCGTGGAAAACTTTGAAAATATATAGCGAATGTACAGGGTGAATAAGTGCGTCGAATTTCAGGGGATGATTCTGCATGAAAAAATAATGACAGTTTGCAATAGGACCTTGTGTCAGTAAATGCTTCGTTTACCGACATAGGGGGAGTTTAAAGTTTTTCTTGTTTTCCGGGACGTTTTTATGCAAAATTCTTAATTGCATGTCAACAAATGCGCAATAACTACCTCTTAAAACCACCCAAATTTCATTTGTATATCTCAACCTGTTTCTGAGCAATAAATAAATGAAAAACAATTAAGAAAAACAACATACCCCGTATCTCCGAAAACGAAGTATTTGCGCCTTTGCGGACAAAAGTTATATAGCAAACTGTCATTATTTTTTCAAGCAGAATCGCCCCCTGAAGTTTGTCGAGTTTATTCACTGACACCCTGTATACAGTTAACAGTATTACGTCTAAAATAAATTAATCACTTTGATTCCAACATACGGACACGGCAATAGCATTCATTGAGATTCTTTTTTGGAAGATTATTCAGAAATGTCATTTTTTGTTTGGAGAAAAGGGCTTTTTTTTTTCTTCCGAAGACACATTTTTCGGGGGAATTTCGGATATTCCAACCCTAGGGGAATTTACTGAATCAAATTTGATGAAATAAATAGAAAAGATGTGTGCATGTAGTACTTTTTTCAAGGGTTGGGTTAGTCTATTCTTCATCAATATAAATTTTGCATGGAATGCGTTCCTGCGAACCGGAGGGGGCAAATTTTCCGGGAGTTTTTGATTTTTGTATATTTGGACGTGACTTTTTGGAGGGCGAATATTCCGGGGGTCAATGAGTCTGAGGGCGAACTTACTGGAGTCAAGATAAATTTTCCACACGCGATTTAAAGGAATGGCTACTCGAACTACTCAGTCACGATGACAATAGCTTGAAAATCATAAAAGCCGTATAAACAATTTAAGAATGGCAATGATGGCATGATAAAAAAGGACGAGGGAAGCCAAAAGGTGATTATAAGCAGAAAGTCAAAGTACATCGAATAATAAAAACGCAAAGTGTGCAGTGTTGATACTGCTCGATACTTTGCAGATTTTGCTTATACTCTGACACATAACCTTAACAGTTAGCAATTTTCGCCATTCGATAAAAATTATACTGCTGACACTGAGACAATATGCCATTATAAAATAAGCAATCACTGCCAATGTAGATTAATTCGATTGACAGTAAGTTAGTGAAACAATGGCGCGAATTCTCCTGTTGGTGAGCTCGATTTTCCTATGCGGAAAACTGGGTACGTTACTACCTTATTCATGATTTCATTTTGTAAACTGAATTTTTCAGGATCGTCCTTCATGGACATACCAGTAATTAACCTACCCGAAGAAATTAGAGACGATTTAATCAACATAGTCACAAATCCCCTCAAGCTGATCCATAACTGTGATTCTTCCGATACGCAAGAAGTGCAATATTTGTTATACACGAGAAAGAACCGCGACCGTCCCATCAAACTAAACCCACAGCAGCCCATGGAGGTGGAGGAGGGCAAACCAACGATTTTATTAATACACGGTTGGATATCAGACTCAAACTTTTACAACATGCCCAAAATACGCGAAGGTTTTTTGACCAAATATGACTGCAACGTGATCATGATTGATTGGTCAAAAACTTCATTTAAGACTTATGGTCACTCTGTCTGTGCCCTGCCGGTAATAGCAGAAGAGGTCGCCAGACTTCTTTGCAAATTAGATGCATACTATGGCGTTCCTTTAGAATTGGTTCACATAATTGGGCATTCGCTGGGAGGCCAAATGTCGGGACTGATCGGTCAGAGCACCAGGGAGGTTTGCCAGAAGTCGCTCGGCAGGATTACCGCACTTGATCCGGCAGGTCCTCTTTTCTTCGGATTACCGGAGTCTAAACGGCTGGACCCTTCGGACGCCAATTTTGTTCAAGCCATTCACACTAACGGCGGAGTTTTTGGATACCTGCCAAAATGCGCGGACGTCGATTTCTTCGTAAATTGCGGCACCTACCAACACGGTTGCATTACTATTAGCCTTCTCAATATTACAAATGTCCTCGTCTCCGATGGTAAGTCGTTCCTTAGCTGAAAGTAGATGATCCGCATGTAATTTCGTTTTAGTTACGTGCAGTCACTCTCGCAGTCTGGATTATTTGGAGGAGAGTATATACTCGACCGGATTTGTCGGTCACAGTTGCAAGTATTGTCCGGTTAAATGCATCGCGGACCTCTTTAATTCGAAATCTGCGGTAATGGGAGAGCATACGGCAAAAGATGCGAGTGGCAGTTTTCTGGTAACCACAGCGTCATCATCACCTTTCGCTCAGAAGTGTACTTCATATGCCTTCGGAGTTTGCTTGTAATGATCTTGTAAACATTAATAATTAAACGATTGTGCGACAAGATTTTTGAACCAAATATGGCTGTACAGATGAGTCCTTTGGTAGTATGCCGGTTTTATTTAAAAAAATTATCAAAAGCAAAACTTCAGTAAATTTTGAAGACAAAGCTCGTTTCTTCCAAAAGAAGTGGGCGTTTTTGGAAATGCGCTGAAGTGTCAAATTTGTCAAATATCAGTCAGTCAGAGTTACCAACAACATTTTTCTGGTACGGAGTAGGAAGCCATATACCTAAGGAACGAGACCTTGGTTGTGTTTGCAAATCACAACTTTATCATGCTTATCGCAGCAATTTTTTCAATTCACTTAAAAATGCAATTGCTGACGGCGTGACCTTATCGGATTATAACATAAGCTAATTTATTAGTTGATTGTTACACGCGGAAGTAATGACACCAATTCTCTTAGTACTGTGTCTAATTTTCCAATGCGGTAGATATCTTCTAAATAAGACGTTTTTTGCATGAATGTTTCAGGTTCCGCATTCATGGATATACCGGTACGTGATCTACCCGATGCAATCAGAGACGAATTTGTTAAGATATTCATGCAAACTCTTAACTTTTTCCATACATGTAATTCTAGCGACACACAAGAGGTGCAGTATCTGCTTTACAACGGAAAACACCTAAAGCAGCCGGTAGTATTAGATCCAAAGGCGCCCGCGGAGGTGGACCAAGAAAAACCAACAGTTTTTATAATACACGGTTGGCTATCCAGCCCAAATTCGTCTAGTTTTCCAATGATTCGCGACGCTTATTTAACGAAACACGATTACAATGTGATAATGGTCGATTGGGCAAAAACGACGCAAACGGCTTACACTCACGCGTACTGCGCCCTTCCGATAATAGCGAAACAGGTAGCGCAACTCCTGTGCCTGCTGGATGCGAATTACAATATTCCCCTGGAGATGATTCACCTCGTTGGCCACTCACTGGGAGGACAAATGTCTGGCCTGATCGGACAAAACACGAAGGAATTCTGCCAAAAGCCAGTTGATCGCATTACGGCGTTAGATCCGGCAGGTCCCCTCTTCCTCGGTTTGCCAGAGTCGAATCGGTTGGACTCCTCGGATGCAAACTTCGTTCAGGTAATCCACACGAACGGAGGCGTGTTCGGATACTTGCTCAGCTGCGGCGACGTCGATTTTTTCGTAAACTGCGGGCTCTTCCAGCCAGGCTGTATCTCGATCGACATCAAGAAGTTACTGGACTCGCTTGTGTCAGATGGTAAAGTCAATCTTGATGGCAAGGGGAAATTAATAATTGTGTTTTAGTCACCTGCAGCCATTCGCGCAGCCAACAGTATATGGCCGAAAGTATCTACGCTGATAACTTCGTGGGGTACAGTTGTAAACTTTGCCCGGTAGCTTGTGTATCCGAGGTTCATAAACCGAAAACGACAATGATGGGAGAATATTCGCCAAGGAACGCGAAGGATCGATATCTGGTAACCACGGCATCTTCTCCTCCATTTGCACAAAAGTGTAATTCATATACTTATGGCATCTGTTTGTAGAAGTACATTCGATTCCCGGCTGAATCAATTTTTTTTTAATTTTATATACCCTAGGGCTAAGCGATTGGGTGCCTTTTCCATTTCGAAATTGATAAATAGTATCCCATATCAATCTAGAAGGAAAACTACTCCAAACTACTTATAGGTTTCAACCTTGCATTTTGTGATAACTTTATGAAACTTTCAGAGGATGTTCCAGACACCCTAAGGTTCAATTTCAGCTATGCCGCCACCCCCGCAACCCCGGACGGCACTTGCTATATCGGGTTTCTTAAGTGCAAGGTAGCATTTCAATACCAGCCCATAAAATGAGTCAAAAATGTATATCCAGGGTTTGTTTTGTACTTTCTTACATCTAGGAAGGGTGAAGCGAATTGTCAAATACCCAGGGAGAATTTATGTAGGGTATTTTACGTGGTTTACCTATTTTTGAGGCGCTTTTAACAGTGCGGGCAGTAAAATCGTGACGGAGACTTCTTTTGACTCCTCTATTGAATATTATACTATGCTCTAAAGTATTTATTGAGACTTTACAATGCTGAAAGGAAAGTTAACGATAACTACGGCACTAAAATTATTGAACCCTATCTTGAGAACACTCGCCTCCGCAGTCGCACAATTCGGTGCAGGGCATGTCGGACTTGGCACAGCTGCAACTTTGTGTGAATTGTGCGGAGGCGAGTGTTCTCAAGATAGGGCTCAATCATTTTAGTGCCGTAGATATTGTTAACTTTCTTTTCAGCATTGTAATGTCTCAATAAATACTTTAGAGCATAGTATAATATTCAATAGAGCAGTCAAAAGAGGTCTCCGTCACGATTTTACTGTCCGCACTAGAGAATACAATACCGGGATTGCGGGATCCCGCAGCATTTTTGCGAGATTAATCCCGCACATAAATGGAGCGGGATCCATGTCGACCAAGGGGACAGCTCTGTTTACTTTGTTAATAAAACTGATAACGGCGAATTATATTTTAAATAATTGTTAAACTTTTTTCGTTAAAAATGTACTATGATTTTTGAGGCACTTTAGAAGACTTTTTGTGCTTTACAGGTAAGGTTTTTTGAGTTCTAAGTTAGGCCGAAGGTACTTTTTTGTTAAATATTGTGATAATTAGCGATTTATTTTAATACAGAAGTTAACCGCACAGAATTGCTTATTTGCCACGAGATCCCGCAAATTTCGGGATCCCGCGGGATTAACATCTAACAATCCCGCAAATACCGAGATTGAGATTTTGCTGCGGGATTGCATTCCCTACTAGAAACCAATTTCGAAAGAAAATTCAAAGGGCTGTAACTTTTGAACTAGTAGCCCAGTCTTGGAACTGTTTGAAATTATGGATTCTACGGGCCACATTCAATAAGAAAAATTTTTTTCCGGGTCGATCCGAGACAATTTTCTTTGAGGGCCTCAAAAAAAGGCAGTGTATAACCTTCCTTTTTTACCAAAAATCGACTGCACCAAAATTTCTCGGGAAAACACTTTTTCTTATTAATTTTGGTGCGTAGAATCCAAAACAATTCGTACTTTTTCGATCAGACTTCTCAATCAAAAGTTATAGACTAGAAACCAATTTCGAAAGAAAATTCAAAGGGCTGTAACTTTTGAACTAGTAGCCCAATCTTGGAACTGTTTGAAATTATGGATTCTACAGGCCACATTCTATAAGAAAAATTTTTTTCCGGGTCGATCTGAGACAATTTTTTTTGAGGGCCTCAAAAAAAGGCAGTGTATAACCTTCCTTTTTTACCAAAAATAGACTGCACCAAAATTTCTCGGGAAAACACTTTTTCTTATTAATCTTGGTGCGTAGAATCCAAAACAATTCGTACTTTTTCGATCAGACTTCTCAATAAATAGTTATTTATGTTATAAGGCCGGGAAGTGGCTTATTAAAGTACGAGTTTAGATGTTTACGGACGAGGCGACGAAGGAGCCGGGTTCGGAATTTCTAAACGAGTGCTTTAATAATCACTTCACGGCCGTGTATCGTACAAAATTTTATTTCATACTGTCTCAATTTTGAGATTTCTTTTGATTCTTTTACATAACACATGCCATCTTTAGCCGCATCACCTTTGAATCCGGTACCGTTGCATAGTTACGCACGAATTGTTTTGCCTTGTTCATTTATTTGTAAAAAAAATTGACGCGGCAAGTTCTTCTGGTGGTGAATTTGTAAGGGTGATTTGTTCAAAAAGTGAAGAAGCTGTAGAAAATCTCATTCCCAGAAATCAGTATCAGTTATATACCTAGTGTGTGTTTGGCGAAAAAAGGTACAGGAGGATAGTAATGTGAACGAAAACATCATGCTTTCTAACTTTTTGGATGCGCTAAGAAAATAATTAGGGCTAACAAGCCTTCTTTAAACTAATGGAATACCTTCTAGGCCAAAAAGTTTTCTAGTTCTACATTGTGGTCCAAATATTCAATGTGCAAAACCATGATAAATGAAAACGCGAACATTTCCAAATAAATGTCAAGTTGACAGCGCTTACAAAAGATTACCTTTTAGTAAAGGTTAGATGACACCTAATTGTACAACTTTTTAATTTCGGATTCATCAGGACACAAAAACTCACGGTAGAGGTAGACGTATTTGCAGTCATTAATAAGTGCGATGGAGTGAATTTTTTGAATTTGTGCAGAAATTATTGCAATCTCGCCCCAAGAATATGGTAGAGAAGGTGGCAAGAGGTTTCCACCACCACAGTCCCCAGCGATGGGGGTGTGTCCACTATTAAAATTAGTGAGAATTCTAATTGTATAATTAATAGTCTTAAGCTTTCGAATGATAATGTAAATAGCTATCGTCTTAAATAAATTTGACGTTTCTTCTTGTCAGAAAATTATCAGTTGCTATGCAACACTTTCCGGCCTTGTGATGTAATAGATCACTTTCCGGACTCAAATGAATGATGTAATGTACTGTATAGCGGACAGTTATTTGCCAATTTATTTCCCGCGGGATTACCGGGATTGAGATTTTGCTGCGGGATTGCATTCCCTAGTCCGCACTGATAAAAGCGCCTTAAAAATAGGCAAACCACGTAAAATACTCTAAATAAATTCTCCCTGGGTATTTGACAATTCCCTTCAACCTTCCTAGATGTAAGAAAATACAAAACAAACCCTGGACATACATTTTTGACTATTTCACACTATAGCAAGTGCCGTCCGGGGTTGCGGGGGTGGCGGCATAACTGAAATTGAACCTTAGGGTGTCTAGAACATCCTCTGAAAGTTTCATAAAGTTATCAGAAAATGCAAGGTTAAAACGTATTTTGGCTCTTAACCCCTGCATTAATATCTTTTTAGCGCATTTTTTAAGAATTAAAAAAAATGTGCTATTGTTTGCATTTTGTCCGTCCGTCCGGACCCACTTCGGCGGTTTTGAACTACTTTTAGGGGAATTGACCGGACCTAGAGTCCTGGAATTTTGTTGCAATAGGTAGCTTATACATAACTTGAAGGTATGCCAGGAGGCGGGGGATGAACACACGTTCAACCCTTCATGGTACTCTAATGAAATGAACTACCGCCCTACTTTCTGACTCCTTATCAAAAGTGGGAATTCTGAGGGGGAAATGGGGGGGGGGGGGTTGACAAAGGTATCAAAGAAAGGAATTAATTTCTATCACTGAGTAAGTTGATTACTTATTCAATTTTTCTACCAACCATAGCCTCCTCCTCGATTTCTTATATCTCAAAAACAAATTATCGGAGGATAGTACTCACAAGGGGCGATTGGGACGTCTGGAAAATATCTGTTGGTGATGTCAAAACTTTACGAACGAATATCTCGAAAACGCTCTGTCGGAAGAAAGTTCCCACAAAGGGAAAATGAATTGTCTGGACGAATTTATCTATCTATGAACTACGTACTAAGCTATTTCGGTTTTAAAAAATGCGCTTTATCTGCACAAGAGTTGTGCACAATTTATAGGTACTTGTTGGTAATTTTGAACGTTTAAAATTTCATAATATTCCGACACACGCTGTACAATTTCTACAAATCCTACAAAATGGAAAATGTTGTAATCTTGTAATCCGAAAATCTTGTTCTGGTATAAACGTAAAAATTCAAGAATTCTAAAATGTTTTACGCTGCGTTTATATTTCAGATATTTCATTCACCTTTAGAATTTGCAATTTGCCCAATTTGAAAATTCTAAGTCGCCCATTGTTTCGATAAAAACGTTAACGCATAGTTTCTGTAATCTGGGCAAATATACGAATTGGAAATACGGAGATATTACTTAGAACTTAATTTGTTTCCAAATCTGAATGACCGCGAACTATATACGTATATACCTACTTTTTATGCGAAATTTTGCAAAAAAAAATTTGAAGAACTATTAAAAATGTCCCTTCGAGCCCGAAAAACTTCTCTCCATCAGCTAAATTTTTTTTGACAAATTCAGATTCAATGAAAAAGTACAGGAATGTGAGAAATGCATTAAACTAAGACAGCCACCAAAAACAAACGCACAGTCAGTGGGAACGTGGTTTATATTTATAGGGTGTAGTTAGTTTACGCACCGTAAGGATTACAATGGTAATTTCTTTATATTGAAATATTTTCTCTCCTTTTTGAGACTCAAAATTTTTATTTCTAAAGGCTAAAAGCGCCTTTAGAAATAAAAATGTTGAGTCTCAATGTTCAATTTCAATTTTAATTTTTTCTATATCCAACTCAAAAATAAATATGGAGTACTTCATCAACAAAGTTAAAACTAGCAACTTGTAGAGGGAAAAAAGTGACCATAATAATGCGTCATTTATATTTTTAATTAACTTCGGTAAAAAATAAAAATGATGCAAAATTTCGTTATTTTCCGGATATGTCCGAAACCTTTTCTCAGTCTTCATTCGATAAAAACCGCTCTCTTATTTCATGACTCTTCTTTGTTCAAGTTTCAAATGTCAAATCGCACATTTTCCCCTCTTTACTCAAATAAAAATCGTATATATGTATTAAACGATTGCAATATGACATGTTACAGAAACTCAATGAG